ATCACTAGGCCAGACCCTTTACCCCAGAATGCATGCACTCTGGATGTGGCTTTAGAAGAAGAGACGTCAGTGCTCAGACCAGAGCTACTTGGGTCCCCTAATTTTCCCTGTGGGTAATACGCATGGGAAAAAATACCCCTCCTTTGCAACACTATGCAATCATCAGTCAGACTTTATCACCAGGATGACAGGTGGATATCAATTGATGGACATCAATTACCAGGCCCCTGGGGTTTACAGGGTCCTCAGACATGCTCTGGATTCTGCCCCTCACTTTCCTTTATTTTTTTTTTTTGTTTTATTTATTCATTTGATAGAGAGAGAGAGAGAGAGCACAAGGGAGAGGGAGAAGCAGACTCCCTGCTGAGCTAGGAGCCCAACATGGGGCTGGATCCCAGGACCTAGAGATCATGACCTGATCCAAAGGCAGACTCTTAACCATCTAAGCCATCCAGGTACCCCCTGCCCTTCACTTTCTTTCACCAAAATGCCCCCCCCTTACAAACACACAGTGGGGAACTATGTTTAGCTAGGGCTCAGACTTATTTTTTTAACTAATTCTTTCATCACAAATATCTTCCTTCATGATTTGCAAACATATACTGAATTTTTGTCTATTATTCACTTCAAATTTCTCTTCCTTCCTTGACGTGCTCTCCAGGAAACCATGTTAATATTACATATAATGGATCTCTTAAAAGCTAAAAGAATTGGGAATGCTAAAGTCTAAAGTCTTCAAGACAACCATCTGCTGTTGCTTTCTAACTGCCAAGTTCAATGGTCTCATTGAAGCCATTTTGGAAGTTCAAGCCCTTTGGGGCTATTCTCAGACCTCTTTTATCTCGGGTTGAGTGACCCTGGAAGCAAAACTTCTCTGTCCTTTTATCAGATTATTTGAGAACTGCCTCCATGGGCGGCATTAGGTGACTCCCAGCACTTTCTTGGCATCGCGCACACCAAATCCGTGTGATCTTACTCTCTAGGCTTAGCTATATTTGTTTATTAAATGCAACCCAGATTTATGATAATTAATGTTTAAATCCCCTTTGAGATGAAAGCAAACTGAACCAACACAAGCTATCATTAACAGCCATAAAAATGAGTAACCCGCATGTTTGTTTCTTCAACCCCCATGGTTTTCCCTGATATATTTTAAAATCTCAGAGAGGTCGTGGTTATTATGAATCATCTTTTTACTATATTTTTTGATGCTAGTGAACACAAGGAAAACTTTAACCCTAAAAACTCCAGTCGTAGTTTACCCTCGAGATTAAATTCCCTTCAGAGGTCAGAGTTACTCTGGAAGAATTTGCCCCACAGCAATGGGTGATTCTTTCCCTGCAGGCTGGCGGTCTGTGAGTGCAGCCCGGCAGCGACCCCCCCCCAAACCCAGCTCACCCCCAGAACCTCTGGGGGGTGATAAAAATATTAATCCCTGGATCCCAAACCTGGAGATCCTGCTTCAGCCAGTCTAGGGTGGAAACTGAAGTCAGCATCAGCTATTAGATGATTCTCAGTCTAATTTCCACGAATATGGGAAGTAAAGTCAGCTGGGAAAACTTCAGCCCCGCCTGGTCTGATCAAAGCCTGTACTTTGGAAAGAGCACACATTAGTCTGTGCGTGTGTCATCCAGGGGAACAAATGATGTGTTCTAGAGCGGGTGAGAATAAAATGCTTCAGTGGTGGAGCATAAGGAACATCTCATAGAATGTCAGTGCCAAGAGTCACTTTCTTTCTCACCTGGAAAACAGGCGCTACATCATGGTAATTATTAGCTCATAAGCAAAACTACTTTTGGAGGATTTATCAACAGTTACAAAAAGCCAGCAATTTTATTTTTTTTAAGATTTTTATTTATTTATTTGAGAAAGAAAGAGAGAAAGAGCACAAGCAGGGGGAGGAGCAGAGGAAAAGGGAGAAGCAGGCTCCCCACTGAACAGGGAGCCCCATACGGGGCTCAATCCCAGGACCTTGAGACCATGGCCTGAGCCCAGGGCAGATGCTTATCCGACTGAGACACCCAGGCGCCCCCAAAAGCCAGCAATTTTTAAATACTGATTGTAAAGCATGTTCATATACCTTTTCCAAGTAGAATTTTTTTTCGCAGACCTATATTCATATGCTGCAATGATGCGAATGGGGAAATTCTTTGCAGGGGACTGCCCCCTACCTTGCGGCATGTCTAGCGGAATTCCTGGCCTCTACCACTAGGTGTCAGTAGCACCTCCCCTAGTAGTGACGACCGGAAAATGTCTCCAAATAAGATCAGAAAGTTCCCTGGAAGCAACATTGTTCCCAGTTGAGAAGCGTTTCTCTAGGAAAATCATGTAAGCTTTCTGGGGCTTCTGGAACTTATAACAGAAGATGAAAAAGTAAAGGTGTCATTCATCGCAGTGGAATCAGAAAAGACTAAAGGATAAGTTATAGTTGTAAAATTAAATAACTGCTTATATTTTAAAAATCCAGATTCAATACCCACCCGTATTGAAAAATAAGTTTTCTTTTTTTTTTGAGATTTTATTTATTTATTTATTTGAGAGAGAGAGAGAGAGAAAGAGCACAAGAGTAGGGTGAAGGCAAAGGGAAAAACAGGCTTCCCAAGAATCAGGGAGCCCAAGATCATGACCTGAGCTGAAGGCAGACATTTAACCTACTGTGCAGCCCAGATGCCCCTTAAAAAAATAAATTTCAAATGGTCTGGAGTTCTAAATGGGAAAATATTGGTAAATATACAAAATATATTTATGTAACCTTGGAGTAAAGAAAATTTATCTTATGGAAAAAAAAAAATCAGGAAACCTGGAAGCCCAAAATAAAACCCTCAAGAGTCTTAACTCTGTAACATGTTAACATTTCTGTAAAATGAAAAAGGAGCTGTAACATGTTAACATTTCTGTAAAATGAAAAAGGAGCTAAAGAAAGGCACCATAATCAAAATTTTATAAAAGAGGAAAAAGAAAAAAATATTTGCAATACATGTAACAAACTAAAGGTCAATATTCATAAAAAAATGAAAAACCAACAAATCATTTTCAAAAGGCAGAGAAAATAGGCTAATATTTTGAAAGAGCAATTCGTAAAGAAAAATCAAAGAGCCAGAGCACAGGAAAATTGTCCAAGTCGTTCCTAACTCAGTAGAACACAAACAAAAATTACAGTATCATATTGATCCCACCAGATTGGCAAAATTAACAAGATTTATGGAATGTGGAACTGATGAAGGAGGATGGGGAGGAATAATCATTCTCACACCCTATTAGCAGAACTTACCCTGTGTCAGTCCTTTGGGGGAAATTTAGCAGTGGTTCTGAAAATGTAGAAACTGCATAACCTTTGTGCTAGTATTCCCCACCTTAAATCTACCCCATAAAAGCACTCTCATATGTGTACACTATATGTAGATATGAGGGTATGGTATTGTTTGTAATAAATAAATATTACAAGCAGAAGGAAGTTAGTCCTCTATAAAGAATGGTTGGTACATCGTTATATCTTGATACCTACAATGTGGCCTTTTGCAGTAGTGAAATTGAAAGAAACAGATTTAAAATATTAAAATGAAAAGGCCTTTTTAATATGACAAAGTTCCTTTGCTTTTTCTTTTCTTTGTTTTTTTTTGGGGGGGAGGGAGCAGAGGGAGAGGAAAAGAGGGAGAATCCGAAGCAGGCTCCAAGCCCCACATGGGGCTTGATCCCGTGACCCTGAGATCATGACCTGAGCTGAAACCAAGAGTGGTTGACTTAACCTACTGAGACACCCAGGTGCCCCTGACAGAAGATTTCAAAGCTATATAGAAATATGGAGACATACACAATTTATATAAATAAATTTATTTATTTATTCACATATATAAAGTTACATGCATTTGTCTGTGAATGTATAATTACACATATATGTAAACATATTAAAAGCATCTTAAAGGTTACACATCAAGCTATTAGTGAGAATTAACTCCAGGAAGACAAGTACGATGTACATCTCATTCTATGTGCCATATAGTGTTTTGAAGTTTCACCGCAAATATGCCGGGTGCATATTATATCATTTTGGAACAAAAGTCAGGAAGTTGAACTCTGTGAGTCAGAAGTCTGTGATTTCAGCTCTAACCAGCATTGGGCTGGATTCATCTTGGGTTAGAAGTAAATGTGAAAACTTAAGCCACCCAGCTGGGGTCTCTTTCACAGGACCCTACAAGAAGGAAAGAAACAGGGAAAGAAAGTTCGATGCCTTAAGCACCCACATGGGCTTATTCCATTTGTATACATTTTCCCATTTATCGTGGTGATGTCATAGTTTACTGAGCCAGGGAGAGCTAAGGGGCTTCACAAAGATCACAGAGCCAGGAAGGGACGGAGTCAGGAATCAGACGTGGACCCGTCTGCAGGGGGTATGACCTCGGCTCTCCACACCAAACGATTCCTAGTTTCCTTGGTTGATGGAGAAACTGGCTTATGGTCTAACATCAACTCGGCCAGCAGGAGGCCACGGTGAGAAGCAGCTAGCCAGCCCAATGACTACCATGACCCACAAGAAGCAAACTCGCTGAGATGTGCTCGTTTCCTGCTCTGCACCAGGCATTGCCTTCATACCCGCTTAACCTGCACAGCAGCCTGGGAAGAAGGGCCATTACTATTCACATGGTACAAGGTGGGGGACGCCTGGGTGGCTCAGAGAGTTGAGGGTCTGACCCTTGATTTCGGCTCACGTGGTGATCCCAGGGTCATGAGATCGAGCCCTGAGTCTGGGCGTTGGATCTGCTTGAGATTCTCTCTCTCCCTCTGCCCCTCCCTTGTGCTCTCACTCTTTAACAACAACAACAACAAAAAAGTGACACTGAGGCCCAGCAAGGGTAAGAAAGTTGCAGAGAGTTACACAAACAGTAAGCGTAGGACACGCCAGCCTCCAACCCCACCCACAAAGATCAACCATTAGATAGCTATCCACAAATAAAAGAGCTCCGGGAGCTGTCAGAGTCCACCTAAGGAATCTCTGTGACACAGTGTAGCAAATACCCTGACAATAGCCACAACCAGGAATAAAGGAAGACAGCCTCATTTTGCCGGCATCCCTCCAGCCCCGGAGCCAGTTGTCCGGTGTCAAGAGGGAGATCCCCAGCTGAGAGAGTGCCCCTTGCTGAGAAAGGAAGAAGGAGGTAAGTGGGGAGCTTCCCCAGCCTTTCAGGACACCACATCAAAGACCTGCTTTGGTTTCACCCCACCCATTTGGCAAAGCTGAAATACTTAGGGGCAGCTAGGAACAACGAAGTTAACAGGGGCCACCAATGACAACCACAAGGCAGGAGCCACCATGGTGCCCAGCGACCTGTTCTGTGGACAAGCCCAGCAACTTTTCCCACTCAAGAAATCAGCGGCCGGGGGCACCAGGGGGGCTCAGTCGGTGAAGTGTCCGCCTTGGGCTCAGGTCATGATCTCAGGGTCCTGGGGTGGAGTCCCACATCGGGCTCCCAGCTCAGCGGGGAGCCTGCTTCCCCCTCTCCTTCTGCCCTTCCTCCCCGCTCATGATCTCTCTCTCCCTCTCTCAAAGAAATAAAAATTAAAAAGAGAGAAAGAAATAGGAAGGGAGGAAGGGAGGAAAGGGAAGGAAAGGAAGGGAAGGAAGAAAGATGCCAGTGGCCAGCACAGCCCCCCACAGACCCCTGCTGATTTCACTAGGTTTGCTCCATGTACATCCCAGATACAAGCCTCCCAAAACCCTGCTGCCCTCCACTCCCCCGCCCCAGTCCCTGCTCCCCTTCCTTCTCCACTCCCCTCCCCCTTCCACTCCCCTCCACAGACACCTCTCTCAAGCCCTCCCCCACCTCTGCCACAGCAGCCGCTTAGTCCCTCACTCTGTACTTTCACACTACCAGCCTGACTCAGGTCACGGACCGCCACAGCCTTGCAAATGCCCAGTGGGAGATGGCGGTCACAAGAGGGCACACTGACAGCCAAGGCCCCCGGCAGCTACCAGTGTGCCCACGGCTGTGTCCAGTCCTTGCCACTTGCCCTACAATCGCCGCTATAAGTGTGTCTATACTTGGCTCCTGCAACTAACAGCCCAGTGGGTACGTAACACCAGCTTCAGCCCCCACGGCTGCCTACCCTGATTCCCAGCTGCTGGGCCTACTGAGGACCCCAGCAGCCCTGGCCACCACCGCAGACCCCCACACACTCACTAAGGGCCACAGAGTTGTTGATGCAATGGACCTCGGCAGCCTGAGTCAAAAAGACCTCCTTCCCCTCTGGACCTGGTACTGACACCAACCCCCACACTTGGCACCCTGCGCCATTAGACCTTGTATCACAGCAGGCCGCAGCATGCTCCCCCCCAACAGACAAAAGGTTTCCCTCACCAAAATCAGCTCATCAAGTCTGAATGAGGTGACCGCATCTTCAAATACAGACATCCGTTCGACGCTACGGTGATCACGAAGAATGAGGGAAACATGACTCTAGCAAAAGCATAAGGCACACCTCCAGGAACTGGGCCCAAAGAAATAGAGATCCAGAAATTGCCTGACAAAGAGTTCAAAATGCTTCTTCTATAGCTACTCAGAGGGCTGAAAGTACACAGGTAACGATTTAATGGTATCAGGAAAACAGTACAAGAACACAATGGAAAGTTCAACCAAGAGACAGAAAATATTTAAAAAAAAAAATAGAAATTTGAGGGCTAAAGAATACAATGGCTAAACTGAGAACTCAACAGAGAATTTGAACGAAGACTTAAATGAAAAAACGAAGCCATGAGCTTGCAAACAGGTCAAATGAAGTTATCCAATCAGAGAAGCAAAAGCTAAAAAAACAAAGAATGAAAAGGAATGAAGAAAGCGTATGGGATTTATAGAGACAGCGTCTGTACAGCTGGAGTCCGCGAAGGAAAAGAAGGGAAGGCACAGAATGCTTATTTAAAGAAAAACTGGTAGAGAATTTCCCAAATCTAGGGAGAGAGATGGATATGCAGGTTCACAGAGCTCAGAGGTCACTCCAAAATTTCAATCCAAAACGATCTTCCCCAAGATACATTATAATAAAGCTGCCTAAAATTAGAGACAAAAGAGAATTTTAAAAGCAGCAAGAGGAAAACAATTATCTGATACAAAGGAGCCCCCACAGAGCCATCAGTGGAGGTCTTAGCAGAGACATCGCAGCCCAGGAAGAGTGGGATGAGATACTCAAAGAGCTTAAGATGCTTCCAACAGAGAATACTTTCTCAGCAAAGTCGTCCTTCAGATAGACAAAAGCTGAAGGAATCTTTTTTTAGGGTATGACTATTTGGTTTTAGAAATTAACCTACCCTGAGGCACCTGGGTGGCTCAGTGGGTTGAGTGTCCCACTCTGTTTCGGCTCAGGTCATGACCTCAGGGTCCTGAGATCAAAACCCGCCTAGGGCTGGGTGAGCATTGGGGAGTCTGCTGGGCATTTTCCCTCTCCCTCCGCTTCTCCACCTACCCTCTCTCTCTCTATCAAATAAATATACAAACAGAGCTTTGAAAAAAGGGGATGAACCCACATTTTAGGCTCTGCTTTCTTTCCGCCCAGCTATCATAATATTGCGCAATTGTTATTTTAAAACCCTGTAGTTTTCTTTATGCCTAACACACACCTAAGCACATTCCATTGTCTTATTCTGCGATCATGTTTTCTTAAAGATTTTATTTATTTATTTGAAAGCAAGAGAGAGAGTGCACATGAGTTGGGGGAGAGGGAAAGGGAGAAGCATACTCTCTGCTGAGCAGGGAGCCTGACACGGGGTTCTATCCCCAGGACCCTGAGATCATGACCTGAGCCCAAGGCAGATGCCCGACCGACTGAGCCATCCAGGCGCCCCGCAGTCCTGTTTCACGTGGTCTCAAAATGAGAATCCTGTGTTTTCAGGCATGTCTGACACATCGGGAGGGCAGATAAACCGAAAGGCCATTTACCTAAAGGGCTGGGGTGTCCTTCGAGATAAGTCTTGGTGATAAAGGAAGGGGTCAGGCCAAAGTCTGAGTCGGGACAGAAGTTCCCGTCATTTAATGGCAAAGAGAGTCTGCCCAGAGCACTGACTGGTACTTTCATTAGATTCTGGTGCCCAGGCCCGACTGGCCTCCAGGCTTCAGCTTAGACAACCTGAAGGAACTGTTTTAATATAACTCAATTCAGTGTCAGGCGAGCACTGCGCTAAGTCAAGACCCTTTTCACACACAACTCAAGCGGAAGAGAGAACTTCTCTCCCAGTTGAAGGGGCTTTTTCAATTTGCCTTTTTTTTCTTACTCTCGTGTTACTATTTGTTTTCTGTTTGGGGGATTTTGTCCTATTTTGTTTGTTTTATTTTTATGGGTTTTTTTTAAAGATTTTATTTACTTATTTGCGAGACAGAGATAGGGAGAAAGAGAGTTTTTGTTGTTGTTGTTGTTGTTTTAATTTTGACAGAGAGGGAGAGAGAGCCCAAGCAGGGGGAGCAGCAGGCAGAGGGAGAGGGAGAAGCAGGCTCCTCACTGAGCAGGGAGCCCAATGCAGGACTCGATCCCAGGACCCCGAGATCATGAACTGAGCCCAAGGCAGGGGCTTAACCTATGGAGCCACCCAGGCACCTCTGTTTTGTTTGTTTCTTATAGTTTTAACATGCAGTACAACTTGGGGTAAGGCTACATGCTGATTCTTCATTCACTTTGTTCTTAGAAAGCTTTTCTTTAACTTCTGTCCTATTAGACCAGTTGTCATTTTGATACTGAATTGATTTCTACATCATGTACATTTAGGGGAGACCCATTTTCCTAGTTTTGAGATACCGGGGTCTTTCAGATCCTCCGTCTTTAGGTATGGACACGATAAAAAACCATTTTAAAAGATGACAGAGTTCCCTGATAGAAGCCTTTACAGATAAATCTCTCGAGAGAAACACTTCCCAGCTGGAGGTCAAGTTTGTTGGCACATCTGGACCTCCATTCTGTTTATAATGCTTCTGATGCTTCAGAAAGGCTTGAAAGTTGCTAAGGTAGTTAAAATTCTGGAGTGGGGAAGAAATGAACTTATTTCATGTTTGTTGAAAATTTATCTCCTTGAGCTGGACTTAGAATTTCACTTTCCTGCTTCCAAAAGGCCAGTTGGGAGCTCATAAAGTCACCCAAGAACTTGATAGCCAAATTGAACTGTATTTTCTCTGCATTATGCTCGCACCCAAGGAGGGCATGGCTCCGAAAGGCTGAAAACAAAACCACCCAAAATTACATTTTTTCTGAACTAACCAGTTTAATTGGCATCAATTCTTTTATTAACAAATTCATATAAATTTCACAAGTTTATTAGTCCATTATATTGAATATATTGGAGCAAATGTGAGTAGATTATGTTTCCCAAATTTATAATGAAATCATTGAGAATAATCTCGAATCTCAAACCCAGGAGAGAAGTTTTAAAGAGACAGTTTCCAGAGATTGATGCTATTTTTTCTGACGCTGGTAAGGCTCTGTCATCGAATGGGGACGAGGACACTGAAATGTCACATTTTTTTCCATGTAGTAATAACACTAACCAATGAATTAAAGCTCCTGAATTTTTGGTATTCGTGTTGCCACAATCTACCGAGGTAATGTTGGGCAAGTCTTCACGTTTTCCTAAAAAAAAAAAAAAGAGCCGAATGTGATTTTCTGGGTTTGTTTGTTTGTTTGTTTGTTTTCTAGCTTTCTAACATTTAAAACTCCAAGATATCAGTGATGGGGGCCAAAGTTCCCTTCGAAAGTCTCACTTTGCAGAAGGTCAGAGCAGCTCAGCGGGGACTGAGGACGTGGAGCTCTCTGCCCTGTTGGACAGACGTCCCTGCTCTTCTGAACTAGGTCAGACGGCCCCTCCCTAGCAAGCATCAGATCCGCGCGGTGGGAACGCTGAGATGGGTCCAGATAAGAGCCTCAGGCTTGCATCATCACCCCTCTGCCACCAGCCCAGCACGGGCGAGGCTGAGACCGTGGGCCGTCCTTTCTCGCGGACTCGCACGTCCTGTTCTAGCCTCGGCTCCTTCACCAACCACATTCCAGGCGTCCCTAAGTTAGTGTGGCTGCTGTTGGCTCAGTTCATTTTTTTTTTTTAGCTTTTGATGAAGTGACCCACGATTCATCAGCTGTCTATAACACGCAGGGCTCATCACCACGTGTGCCCTCCTTAATACCATCACTCGGTTCCCCATCTCCCACCCACCCTGCTAACCCCTCCCCACACCGTAACCCTCTGGTTCCCGGGGTCCAGAGTCTCTCATGGCTCGTCCATCTCCCTAAACAAAGAAATATGTCCCTTCAAATAATAGTTAGTTTTGTTTTGTTTTGTTTTCTTAAATTCTAACACACTCTTTACTCACAATGACAGTTAAGTCTATCCTCCTGGCCTGCTTCAACAGCAGTAGGGTAAGGAAGTGCTCGCACCACCCCACGGTTGATCGGACTGGGACATTCCGGTCGTGAAAATAACTAGGCTGCAACTCAGCTGAGTTATTGCAGGTGATTTAATTGCCAGGTGTTTGTCTCAGGAACCTCTCGGCTTTAGCTCATGATTATAACCCAGAATAAAACCCTTTTGTGTGTGTCTGTTTAGTCGAGCCACAGAGAAATGGCCTAAATGTGGAAGATTCATTTTCTTCCAGTCGATGATCTCACCCATTGCTAAGATGAGAAAATGCCCCATCATTCCTTGACATGTTAAATAAAACTACTTATCAACTCATTGATCTGCAGTTAAAGGGCTAGTGGTGGGGGCGGCGTCTGGGTGGCTCAGTCAGCGAAGCTTCTGCCTTCTGCTCAGGTCATGGTTCCAGGGTCCTGGGATCGAGCCCTGCATTGGGCTCCCCACAGGCAGGAAGCCTCTTTCTCCCTCTCCCACTCCCCCTGCTTATGTTACCTCTCTCGCTGTCTCTCTCTGTCAAATAAATAAATAAAATCTTTAAAAAAAAAAAAAAAAGGACTGATCATTGAAGCCTTTGAATGTGACTGTAGAAGCTTGCAAAGTTTTCTGCAGACTCCATATCTTTCCACTCTCCAAAGAAAGACAAAAACTAGGGAAAAAGAAAAAAGAAAAAATGGTCTTCCCTGTGGTTCCTGTTTCCTTATGGAAGAAGAACAAGGGTTTTATGGGCTGTATCATATGCGCATCACTCCAGGCGGTATGAAAGAAGGTTCTACCCAGCTAGAAGTTGAGGGCTGGTGACTGTGTGTTCTGGGAGGAGTGGGAGGGGCTGGTGGCATTGAGACATCCTGGGCCATGTTTCCATTCGGCTTCCAGCTCTTTCTTCCCTGTCCACCAAGCTTGTTGGATTTGCTTCTGAATTTGGGGGAAGAATCCTGGATGGAACATGTAGGAAAGTTTTTAAAGCTGTAGATCGTGCTGACATTAGGATTGAGTTGTGATACTGCCAGGAAAAGAAAAAAATTAATAAATGCAGATGTTGGATCATGCCAAAGATCTTGTCAAGCCTGTGGATTGTCTCCCACAGAACAGAGATGTGGCTTCTGATTCTGGTGGCGTATTTGTTCCAAAGAAATGTGAATTCAGGATGTATGCCAACGAAAGCCGTGGATCCAGAAGCATTCATGAATATTGTAAGTTGGGGTTTTTCTGTGTTTGGGGGGAAAGGAAGTGGCTCACATACTCACTTTTGCACGTGTGTATTATCTGCATTATATATTATATTTCTATGTGGTGGTGATTTTTGCTAGCAGAGCATAGACATAAATAAGCATGTTGTACTGGGAGGAATGCTAACCTGGGTATGTGTCAACAGCCTTCATCCTCCTTGAAGAAATTTGGTAGACTCGGGTGAATGACTTAATCCCTTTGCCCCAAGCACAATGTAAATTTTTCTTGGATTCTTCGGTTCATTCTAGGAGCAGAGAAACCCTCGTGGTATCTTAAGCTACACCCAAGACCCTGGGCAATTCCACTCCACCTGTGATTTTTACTCCTTTCCTTTTTGCTCCCATATTAGAAAGGGCTCAGTCCTCCCCGCTTACTGTTAGGACACCAGCTTCTAGAAGCATCCATTCTTTGTACCTTCCTTCAGACTGGGACCTCAGTCAACTGGCAAGAAGGGGGCCTTGGTGAAATCTAGAGAGGGCCTCATGTACGTAAGACTCATGAATGATGCAACGTCCTTTTAGGTAATCCAGAATGTTGGCTTACTTTCAAGTTCTGGGTTGAGTTTAAGAATGCCCGCTGTAGAGTTAGACTCACCCCATGGTAGACATGGTGATCAAAAGCTGTCAAGGTACGGCCCGATCGGTGGGTGGGATCATCCCCATTTTTCAAAACCAAGGACCTGAGAACAAGGGGCTATAAGCAACTTCAGTTAGGCCATGCTACTGGCAGGTAGAAGAGCCACAGTTTAGATCTGGGCCTGCCTGGACACAAAGCTCGTAATTGTAACCAACGTGCAATCAGTCCTCCCGGGTGAGAAGAGGCTCCCACCAGCTTGCCGGCCCTGGTAGGATCCTACACACATTCCTCTGAGTTACTGCATGGAGGCAATGTCTTCGACTGGAGGCAGAACCGGTCTCCCCAAGCCTCACCCACTGGGTGTGCCGAGCACTGGGCGCTGTTGGGGCTTCAGGAACCCTAACACCAAAACCCACTGAGTCAGACTCTGCTATTGAGTGTTTATGCCTGGAGAGGCAAAGTAAAATAGGAAATCCATATAATTACTGGTGTACATTCGATGTATAGAAAACGAGCCGTTCAGAGCCTAAATGGGTTTGATTCTGTAGATTGATTTATATGGATATAATCTAACCTGTATTTGGGGTTACGACTGGCATCTTGCTTGAGTCTTTCTAGCTGGTGTTAATTGAGCACCTAGCAGTCCCTTGTTAATATGCTCGTCAGTGATGTTCCAGAGACATCTACGAACACCAAAAGACCCAAGTTCGGAACTTCCAGTCCAGCAGGAAAATAGACCCTCCATTGCTAATTACGATAGCAGTGAAATCAAAGACGAAAACAAAGAAGAGGGGGACCTAATCCTGGGAATTCAGGAAAGTTTTTCTGGAAAAGAATCTCTTAAGCAGAAGTCTGCCACTGAATGGGAGTTACCTGGGAAGGTGGGGGTGATTTTTAATTCTAGTAGTCACTATTGCTCATAGTGCCAGGTAACCTAGTGAGCATTCTAGGTGCATTATCTCTTCACATTCCTTTCCAGAACCCCAGGGAGTAAAGACTGTGGGTATAGATGATTTGCAGATGAACAAATTAAAGAACAGGGACAGGTTAAGTAATTTTTCCAAGATCACACAGCTGGTTTGTGTATTAGTGTTAGAACCAGGAATAAAAGTCAAGCAGGGGACCTCAAGGGCCTTTCTCTTAACTACTATGCCCCCTTTCCCCAGGCACTACCCTGGGCGTTTCACACCTGGCTTTCTCCTCACGGCCCTGTTAAAGCTGAGAGAAGTGATTCCCCCCTCTGGGTGATGACGGTGGGCAGGAATAGGGAGGCTACTGAGGAGATTTCTGAAGCTTCCTGTTTTACAGAGTTTCTACGTGTGATATCTGTGTAGAGTAGGGGTCCTTAAACAGGGGTCAACATATAGGCAACCAGGAATCAGGAGCCCCTAAAAGGAGATACAAAAATGTGTCCAAAAAAAAAAAAAAAAAGTCCCCATGTCCATGTGCATATCCATTTTTATCGGTCTCTTCAAATTCCCTGAGGGCTCCCTGACCTAAAAATGTTAAGAGCTCTTGTTCTTAAGCCTGTGCTTCTTAGAGCTGAAAAGAGCCGCAGGGAACGCGTGGCCTGAAGGTTCTCTGAAGCTGTCCTGGGAAGAACGCCTCGTTGACTTCATTGCAATTATCTAGCCCCATATCTGAAGTGAGCCTAGGAAACTGTACCTCTAAGTGCCCCCAGAAAATTTCAGAATGCACCCAGGCTTTGAAATCAGGGTTCTGGTGTAGTGGTTCTTAAACATTAGAGTGAATCAGAATGTCCAAAGGCATTTGTTAAAACACAGATTGCTGGGCCCCCTCCTCAGAGTTTCTAATTCAGTCCTTTTGGTCCAGGGCCCGCACTTTGAGAACCATTGTTCTCTACATTAAAGGCAAAGAAAATGAGTACTAGAGAGGGCTGGTTAGTTCTTCTAAGAAAACATCAGTAAATGGGGAAAAGAAGGGACTCCTTTCTCTATCTTCCAGAGTCAAGGAATCTGTTTTACTTTTGGATCATTGAGAGTATAGCCATACAGAACTGAACTCAAAAGACACTGCTTTTTCCTTAGAGCGAAATCATCCGACATCAAGGTTATCCTTATGAGGAGTACGAAGTTGTAACAGAAGATGGGTACATCCTTTCTGTTAACAGAATTCCTCAAGGCCCAGCACAACTTAAAAAGACAGGTATGGTTCAACCCCATGCCATCCCAACATGGCAGCCTTCTCTATAGTAATGATTTCCTTGTGGTTTGAGTGTGTCAAGGGGAGTCTGGATTCTTGTTATAGACTGGAACGCACTGTTTGGGCCAAAAGATAGCTTCACCCCCCATCCTCCCCATCACCACCACCACAGTTATCCCAAATATCCCTAATGATCTCAAAGAAACATAGTGTTTGCTTTAAAAAAAAAAAAAAAAAAAAGACCTTCAAGAAAGGTCAATTTCTTGACCCATCCCCAAACCCCTCTTATACAGATATTCTAGAATATCCACTGATGCTCTTTTGAACAGACCATACCAACCATTGCTCATGGAGAATGCAAACTCCAATATGGCACCTGGCACCCACCGCTGCATACTCTGTATTCCCCATCCAAAAAGCATTTCAAGTATTTGGGATGTTGCCAGCTTTTCACTGAGGTTTTTTTTGTTTGTTTGTTTTTTGTTTTTTTTTTTTTTAAGAAATCAGACAATAGATACACATTTTTAATTTTTTGATACATTTCTTCATGGAATCCCTTTTTTTTCTGTATGAGATTTTCAGCTACTGCTGGCTTTTTAAAAATAGTCACATTCATTACCAACGAAAGTGTGCTCGAGTCCTTTGAATTCTTTAGCTCGACATTTATAGCAGCAACTATAATATTTACCATGAGTCCAGATAATACAGTTTCATACCGTGTTCTTTGCAAACACCAGCTAGGATGCCGTGTGCTTTAATTGCATTAGTCTCTCTTAACTTTCACAATAATCTGAAGAAACTGGCGCTCACAGAGTTTAAGTAACTTGCCCAGAAGGCCTATGCAAGCACTTGCATATTGCAAAACCCGTGTTCTAATCAAGACCTGTCTGCCACTCTAGCCCACGTCCTTAATTAAGACCCGAGACTGCCGGCGAAGCCTATCCTCTTTGGTGTAAACAAGCTTCAGGGTTCTGTTTTGAAAACCAGCTTTTTTTTTTTTTTTCCTAATATACCTCCTGCACAGCTGTGCTTTCTATAAGCCCAGCCTGCTCCAACCTTGGTGTGTTTGAAGCAGCCCCTTGCCACCTACTAGGGTCTGGCCCCTTATCCTGCTTACATTCCCTACAGCGCTTACCTCCTAGTATAATAGATAATTTGCTGGTTTATTATCTGTCTCCTGCAACCAGAATGTAAACTCCCTGGAAGCTGGGACTTTATCAATTTTATTGAAAGCTATACAGCCAGTGCCTAAAAGAATGTCACGCACATTCTAGGTGTCAATAAATCTGTGTGGAATGAATGAACAAATGAACGAATGAATTTTATACAAATAAACAGAGAGCCTGGAGATGCAAAGAGAACTTTTGCTGAGCCCCACAAATAGTAGGAGGTAAGCAAGGCACAGCTTTTCCAAGCAATTGAGCGACTGCGGCGGTGTCGGAACTCACGGGTCATCTGCACCCCTATTCATGGATGGAGACCCTGTTCTCACATCCTGTTTACTTACACTGTTCTCTCAAAACCCCCAGAGTCCGAGAGTTCAACACACCCACCCATCTGCCCTTTGGGTCCAGTTGGTGCAGAATACTCCCCTCTAGTGGCCAGTATTGTTCCTGCACCTCTCGTTTGACCTCTTCAAGGAGAAAATCACCCAGTAGGCTGGGTCCTATCCTGATCTCTTTCACTAAAAAGAAGGATGGATGTTCTCTTTTATCATCACAATACATCTATCAAGAAATTAGGAAATTAACACTTATGGATATTAGTAGCTACTGCATAGCCCATATTCATAGGTTTTCAGTTATACCAAAGTCCTTTGTATTTGATCTTCCTTCTGGTCAGTTGTCTTATCCAAGGTCATATGCCACATTTAGTCTTCATGACTTTTTGTCTCCTTTATGAACTGAAACAAATTTCTCAGGTTTTGTCTCTTTTGACCTTGATATTTTTAAAGAGTCAGGGGCACAAGCGATCATGGGTGCCCGAGACCCTGACCCCGAGATCATGACCTGAGCCAAAATTAAGAGTCGATACTTAACCGACTGAGCCACCCAAGTGCCCCTAGACTCACACATTCTTAATTTATTCACTGGGATATGATTTATTGCTATCATTATTTATTTTGAATCTCAAATTTTCCCATATTTGAGCAGTGGGAGCTCCTTCAGGTGGCTTGTGAATTTTTTTGTCATGAAGGGCCTATAATCATTAAATCATTATACGTATGATACCTATGGCAAATACATATATATATAATTTTATAATATGATTATATATACATATGTATATATGTATATATATGTAATATGTAATTATGTAATATATCATTATATTTATAATTACATAATTACCCTAATCATTAGACTATGCTATTTCCTGGGCACTTCCAATATCCTCAGCCCAGACACACCGAGTGAGAGTAAGAACTACAGAAAGGCTACAATGGAACCCAAACTCTACCAATCGTTTCTCTACACCAGGCATCATCGTATCTGCTTCCTGTGCACTATTTTACCTAGTCTTAACAAAAATCTTGTTTTTCTAAGGGGCACCTGGGTGGCTCAGTGGGTTAAGCCTCTGCCTTCAGCTCAGGTCATGATCCCGGGGTCCTGGGATCGAACACCGCATCAGGCTCTCTCTCTCTCTCTCTCTCTGCTCAGCAGGGAGCCTGCTTCCCTTCCTCTCTCTCTGCCTGCCCCTCTGCCTGCTTGTGATCTCTCTCTCTGTCAAATAAATAAATAAAAATCTTTTTAAAAAATCCTGTTTTTCTGATAAGGAAATCGAGACACAGATAGGTTAAGTGACCAACTAATATAATCAATCTAGCAAACAGCTAAATCAAACTTTGAACACGGGTATGTTGAACTTGGAGGCGCTTGCAAACGAGAGGGTAACAAGGAAGGTGGAGAACATGTCTAATGGCTGAAACTCTCTTGCATGTAGGACCGAGTCCGGTGGTGTTCCTGCAGCACGGCCTGCTTGGGGACGCCAGCAACTGGATCTCCAACCTGCCCAACAACAGCCTGGGCTTCATTCTGGCAGATGCCGGTTTTGACGTGTGGCTGGGGAACAGCAGGGGGAACACCTGGTCTCGGAAACACAAGACCCTCTCCGTAGACCAAGATGAGTTCTGGGCTTTCAGGTATACCAAATGGAGGTGGACACGGATGTCTTGGGGAGAACCGGGTAAAGAATAGGACTTCTAGCATTTGGATAATTTACTTTGGATGCACCATCTTGGTAGAGAGCCCCCAGTTGTTTTAATTTGGGGGAAGTAGTGGGGAGGATGGGTTTCCCCAATAGAAGAATGGGCCTGCCTAATAGGGTGAGATGGCAGTTGGTGTCAGGTAGTTGAGAGAAGGTACATAGGTCCATGTCCTTGTAAATGCATATCCTGGAACAAACTCCACCACCCCCAAATAATGACAAGGACTTATACCCCCAGAAAGAGATGAGATCAGGCAACATTAGAGATATCAGGGAAACTATTAAGCCCTAGGGATTATTAATTTGGCTAATACATATCTCACAGTTTTTAATGTTTTTGTGTAAATTACTTATCGGCATTTAACCTGCTCTTTATCTCAACCTATATCAGAGAAGGGCCCTGCGGCATTTTTAATCCCTTCCATACAAATGAATCCGTAAGGCCGGGTGCTATTCCAATAACTATACAGCAGGACATTTCTACTAGGAGGGAGATCACGTGCTCAGTATATATTCACTGAGGATGATTATCGCTCTGTGATACTACCTGGAGAAAACAGCAGGATGCAAATAGTGCAAATGGTCTGTGAGCCCAGAGGCCCCCATGTGTCACAGGGGTGAAACAAGTCCATCCTGAGGGGCACGGTCACAAGCTAGTGGGGCTGATGACTCGAGGGCTTGTTTATAAACCCCAGGGGCTGCTTTCATTGTTTCTGATTATAATTTTTATGTCACTTTGTCTTTTCCCCCTTATAGTTATGATGAGATGGCTAGGTTTGACCTTCCTGCAGTCATAAACTTTATTTTGCAGAAAACTGGCCAGGAAAAGATCTATTATGTCGGCTACTCACAGGGCACCACCATGGGTAGGTTCGATGGAGAGCAGGTTTGTATAGTCAGGGACATGGGCATATGGTGCTCGGCAGTGCCTAGGGTCTGGCACCTGACCTTCTCTCAGCTCTGGCCCTGTCTTCTTCGGCGACTCTTCAGGGGGCTGTGGAAGCCAGAGACTGAAGGAGCAGAGGGAGCAAGGACTCTGGTGGCAGGCAGAGGTGGGATGAGATCCCATCTGGCTCTACCACCTCTTAGGTGAATGTCCTCCAGGGATTTGTCCAACGCCTGTGGTTCCAGTTTCCTCATCTACAAAATGAAGAGAGTTAACTTCCTCGTAGGGGAGTTAGAGGTGTTCGAACTATTCAGGGACAATGTGGATCCTCTCTGTGAGGCAGGGGTTTTGACTAAGACACAAATCTAAGTGCAGTTTCTGGCCCAGACAGTGCACTCAATCCCATTAAACAGTAAGAATGATCATTACACAACAGACAGGGCAGCTGGAGGATTTCATTCAAGTCTTTTTCCTCCCCTTCTATGGCCAATGTCTGGAATTTCATGCTGTTGTCCTTCTGCTTTTGGTGAATTTGGGAGAAACCTTAACTCACGGCCCCTGCTGGGTACAGGTCATCGCCGGGGAGACGGGAGTGGAGGCTGTGTCCTCTGGCTCTCTCTCAGATCAAAGCCCACAGGAAAAGTGTGTTTGGCTTAGACCGGGACAAGGAGGGATGCAGTGTGTGCCATGAGGAGAAGGCTCTCCTGGGAGGGCGGAAAGCACTCTTTGCCTTCACCCTGAGCCAAACCCAAAGGGGAAGGCCAAGGTATGGGATTCTAAGGAGACAGGGGAGCACACCCTCCCTGGAACTCAGGGTAGGAGTTCAGTGGGCTTATTTTTATTTGGTGCTCTCTGGCGACCGAAAAGGGTCTGCCTTTCACATTTTCCTCTCTGGATTTTCCAATACCATGAACTGACTCTGGGGATGACACATCTCACCATACCCCTCACAGAAAGCAATTTGGGGTATTAATACCTGCTTCCGCTCTAATGGCCAGAGGCCTCTGAGATTCTCTTTGCTCTGCATTCAAATCGTCCAGCTTGACAATAAGACAAAGGTGCTGATGATGAATCAAATGCTCTTTCGAGATGAGAAAGGGGACAAAAAAGCATAATAGGATTCTTCTGGTCGTCAACCATGGAGCTGCTTAAATGGAGGACTTATTCTAGGTTTGCATATAGAAAAAGTATCACTGGGAGAAGTCAGCTAGAGTTCTCAAACTTGACATTCAAGGGGAGTTCTAACAGGGTCACAATCCAGCTGGAATAGAGTTTAAAGGAGTTCCAACCCAGTCCTACTGATGGTGTGGCTGGGAGGGCAAGAGGAATGAGTCACTCTTGGGCCTGCCTTTGCATGTGGCTGCCAAGCCTGATCACGTGGAGGGAACAGTGGGGGAGGACACTTTCTTCAGGAATACTCACTCACCTCGGGGAAGTAGAGGAAGTCATGTGATACTGGTCCTCCTCTGCCCAGCTCCCTTCCCCCGCAAGCTGCAAATACAGCCTAGATAGGGAGTTCACAGATGTAGGGTATTTCAAATACAGTGACCAAGCTGTGGCTTTATGTGATAGCCTTTTTTTTTTCTCGCCAAGGCTCCACAGAGATGGTCCCCACATGCTGGTAACTCAGAGACTTTCACAGGCATAGAAACTGAGGCACAGACTGCGTTATCCAGGGTCCCATACCTGGTCTATGACAAAAATAGGAGCTGGGACCCAGTTCAGTAGATAGCTTGTCTATTAGATCATGGTACAGTTAGGGTTCCAGGAAAGGTAGGCATCAAGGAGGCCAGCGGAAATCCTGCTATCCCAACACCCATTATACTACAGAACCTGCTTGTTACTGATAAATAAGGCAATTTCTCTAATTCTCAATTTCATTCACTGTGAAGTAGAGATCTGTTAAAGGTACCTCATGAGAGTCTAAGAATTCAATGAGGTAAGAACCACAAAAGTACCCTGAAAAGTGTCCAGAACATAGTTACTTCTCTGAATATATGTTTTCTCAAAGTCTGTACCTTTAGACTCAATAGTTTAATTCAATAACGCAGGGAGAACCTACTGGCTGGAAGGTAGATGCCAGGTGTTGTAGGGAACACTGAGGTGTGTGGCTGCTGGTGTTTTCCCCATCAAGGAGCTCATACTTTCCTAGGACAGTTAAGATGCAATCACTCATAGTTACTGAAATAACTTGGTAAGAGTACAATTAGCATCTTATGGATTCTAGGATACACAGTATCCACACTGACCTGTCTCTTCTCTTGTAGGCTTTATTGCTTTTTCCACCATGCCAGAGCTGGCTCAGAAAATCAAAATGTATTTTGCATTAGCGCCCATAGCCACTGTTAAACACGCAAAAGGCCCTAGTACCAAATTTTTGTCACTTCCGGATATGATGATCAAGGTACGTGACTCCTCAGATAATTCCTTGTCTGCATAGAAAAGTCCTCCAGCCCAGCTCGCTAAGACATACAGACAGCCCCTACTCACAATTGCTCGACTTCACGGCCTTCTGACTTAATGATGGTGCAAAAGTAATACACTTTCAGCAGAAATCATACTTAGAATTTTTTTAAGATTTTTTTAAAAGATTTTGTTTATTTATTTGACAGAGAGTAGGCAAAGGCAAGCAGAGAGAGATGGGGAAGCAGGCTCCCCTCCAAGCAGAGAGCCCAACGCGGGGCTCAATCCCAGGACCCTGAGATCACAACCCGAGCCAAAGGCAGAGGCTTTAACCCGCTGAGCCACCCAGGCACCCCTGAATGTTGATCTTTTCCTGGGCTAGTGATGTTGGAGACAAACCTCTCTCGTGAGGTTGGCAGCAGCCACAGCTCCCAGGTTTTGACTTACCAATATTTGCAACTTAGAATGGGCTTACTGGGGACATGACTCCATTATCAGTTTGGAAGGTCTGTATGCTTTTAAATTAGATGCACTTCTTTTTCACTGTAATGTAACGATGACGATTCCATGTCGTATTTTAACAGGGACTGTTTGGCAAGAAGGAATTTCTGTACCAGACCAGATTCTTCAGACAGTTTGCTATTTACCTGTGTGGTCAGATGATTATGGATCAGATTTGTAGCAACGTCATGTTACTTATGGGAGGATTTAATACGAGAAACATGAACATGGTAAGTGGGAACCTCGTCAATTCTTAGTTTTCCAAAGCAAAACGAGGAGTGAGTCTCACCTCCAGAGAGTGAGCTAATGCCAGGGGAGACTTACTACGTCTTCTTCAAATCATACTAACGTGCAGAAAATACTTCAACGCAGGCTGAGTCAAGGCTGACATGAGGGTTTTGCTAGATATAGACATCATAGATGATGGATGGAAGAGGTCTGAAAACCCCTTTACTACATGAGGTGACCGTATACAAAAGAGAGAGCTGCCAGGTATCGTGGAACTCATCTTTCTTCTTGGGTCCTTCCAGTTTGTCAATTCATGGGACACCCCAGAGCTTCATTTGAGCTTTGGCATAACTATCGTCGGTGGGGTCACCGTGGGGCTTCCTCAGAAAGCACACTTGGGGCAAAAAAATAGTGTGCAGAGCGATTTGGGGTTTTACCCTTGGGATGATGCCAGGGAAGGGAAGGAAGCAGGATTCTGTAGATTGAAAACATCAGGCCATGATGCAGCTGGATGTGAAGGTGGGGTGACCCTTCTAAGCTGTCCCAAGTTAGAGTGAGAGGGTCGGTCTCTATACTCTCACCTCAACCTGTCATTTGCTACAGATGTCGCCAGGGGAGACCCTGGGCAGGGCAGCTCTCTGCACGTGGGGTGGCCCCCCAAGGAAGCCTAGCAGTGGGCTGCTATCTGCCAGCAGCGTCTCTAGAAGCTGGAGGAACACATCTTTCACTCCAGAAGATTTTTTTTCTTTTTTTATATAATAATATGATCAATCGCTACCGTTTGATAAGCATTTGTTATGTGCCAGGCTGAGTGCTTCCCTATAACAATCCTATGAGACAGGTGTCATCAGTAGCCCCCTCTTATAGACGAGTGTCCTGAGATCTCATGCATTCAACTACTCCCAAATCGACCTAAACAGGGAATGATGGAGGTGGGATTTGAATCCAATTTAGTTCTCTTGTCCTTACATATTCTGGCAAGGTTTTTTTTTTTTTTTTTTTTTTTAAAGAAATCCGTTGTCTAAAGAGAAGCTCTTCTGAGATGACAAGTACAGGTGCCCGGGGACACAGTGGCATTTTCATTTATGCGCATGTGTATATAACTGTTCCATGAATAATTGCTGATAACTTGATGATATTCCCATTTCTTAGTCTAACACCCTGCAGACGTGGTTAGGCCAAGGTGCACGTCTTGTGGGTTTCCCGTGCCCTACGAACCACTTGTGTTCTGTTACAGAGCCGAGCAAACGTGTACGTCGCTCATACTCTGGCGGGAACGTCCGTGCAAAATATCCTGCACTGGAGCCAGGTAGGAAGGCTAACTCTGTTGTCTTTGCCGAGGGTCTCTGCATACTTTGTCTAGAGCACTCAAAGCTTGTCTTTTGACAGCCAAGGTGTTATTTCACATTTATTCCAGGATAGAATATGATCTTGTCAATGTTGTTGCCACCGTGATCCAGAACCCTGAATCTCTTTTCAGGAGATGGTGGCAGGGAGGGGAGGGTTGGCCCAAGGAATCCTCAGTGGACCTTGAGAGTGTGACTTCAGATGGTCCAAGTGAGACTTTCCTCTGCCTCTAGTCACCTCACAGATGAGGCCGGAGATCACGTTTCCATTCTCTTTCTGGGCTCCGCCGGCACAATGGTCACGTAGTAGTAAAAATGCGAAGAAAGCAGGACCTAATTCAGAGGAGAACTTCGTGCTGCAGACTTCACCCGTAATCACCAGAGGGAGGGTCCCGATCACCAGTCACTGTCTCTGTCTCTGGGGGCCATGAGCCCCTCTCGGATCACCCAGGACGCATTCAGGGGCCGTGCGGAGGGTAATTCCTGCGTCACTATAAGGAAGCACTGTGCCTAATCTCACTCCTTATAGACGATACTGAAGGGTGACCGATTTGTTGTGGAAATAAGGATGGAGATAAAGACAGAGAACCAGAGCATAGCTAACCTTGGGTCCTCATCTACTGCAGCCAAAACCTCATTGAACAAAACCCGGAGGGCTCCGAATTCAAGAATGCTGAGGGTGAAATTTAAAAATCACAAATATCAGTCCGGTTTGCTTTGAGGATTTAGAGCCTAGTTAAATTGTTCCTCTAAGGTCGTGGTTCTGTGTGTGTGTGAGTGTGTGTACGTGTAAATGGGGAGGGAGACCATATAATCAAAAGGAACAAAGAAGTCTGCCCTGGGTGAAATTCTGGTCACCTTCTCCCGGGATCACCGCACGGCAGGGCTCTACGGGGCGCTCTCCCATTGTAGTCTGCAGAGGTGCGCCTGACAGCCACCTGACGCGGACCACAGTGGGAATGCGCTTTCTGGATTTGAAGGATAAGGTGGCAAGAGCGTCTCCAGTGCATCTTTCTTCCCAAAAGGGCCTTGCTCTCTTACCTGGATGCTTTCTCGAAGATTGCCCGAAGGGAAGGGCAGCCTCAAATTTTGCCCTCCCCTGGCTTAGCACCTGCTCGCCCCTCCCCCCACCCTTATCCAGGGATGCGTTTGAAGGCCATGTCCATTTGTCTCCTTTTAGGCAATGAATTCTGGGGAACTTCGGGCATTTGACTGGGGGAGCGAGACCAAAAATCTGGAGAAAGGCAATCAGGTATGAAAATCGAACACATCCTCTTGAAATAAAAGGGAGGGAAGTTATAATGACAGTTTTTTGTAGAGGCGGGAATAAAAATACGAGTTCGGGCTTGACTCCATTTGAAAAGAGAGAAGTTCACAGCTTCTACGAGAGGCTTCCTGCTTTCATAAGAGGGTAGGAGAACTTTCCTGATGAGTCTGCCACCATGAACAGGGCCACTGGGCTTCTGAGGAGTAAGACGGTGTAGATAGAGTGAAAGGAAGAGTGTAGACTGTGGTGGTCGCTAGAAGGACCCTTTAAGGATCAAGAGATGAAAATAAAAAACAAAACCACGAATGAAGATGGCAGGGGTACGTTTCCTTCATGGCCCATAAAAGAGCAAGCAAGGGTTGCTTGTGAGTCCTGCCTCCGTCTCTCATCTGTGGGGTCATGGATAGGCTGCTTTCATTCTGCTGACCCTGATGTCTTTATCTTTAAAAATGATTGGACTGGGGTGCCTGGGTGGCACAGTCAGTTAAGTGTCTGCCTTCAGCTCAGGTCTTGATCTCAGGGTCATGAGTTCAAGCCCAGCATGGGGCTCCATGCTGGGTATGCAACCTACTTAAAAGATTATTATTACTATTATTAATTGGACTAGATAATCTTTTTAAAAAGATATTTATTTATTTATCTGACACAGAGAGAGTACAAGCAGAAGAAGCAGCAGAGAGAGAAGCAGGTTCCCCATTGAGCAGGGAGCCTAATGCAGGCCTCCATCCCAGGACCCTGGGATCCTGACCTGAGCTGAAGGCAGACACTTAATTGACTGAGCCACCCAGATCCCCCCAGGACTAGATTATCCTTAAGAGTTCTGCTGGTCACACTTTTTAACACATCTGTCATTTGCAAGTGAGAAGTATGAAAAGTTATTACATTATCTAAGAAAATGCACAGCCGGGCGCCTGGGTGGCTCAGTGGGTTAAGCCTCTGTCTTCGGCTCAGGTCATGACCTCGGGGTCCTGGGATCGAGTCCCACACCAGACTCTCTGCTTGGCAGGAAGTCTGCTTCCTCCTCTCTCTCTCTCTCTGCCTGCCTCTCTGCCTACTTGTGATCTCTGTCTGTCAAATAAATAAATAAAATGTTAAAAAGAAAATACACAGCCAATGCCCTAGCACAAAATGAACAGGTGTGGAGAGTCGGAAGGGGGAGTTATGCTCCTCTGAGCAGAAAATCCCCAGTGAAGATCATTGGTTATCTTGTGTGTGAACGCAAAGAAATTCTGACCACAGGAACATAAAGCCAGAGGGAGCCTGGCAGACAGAGGCCAACCTCTGAGAATCTTGGATCATACATAATATCCACTCCCATCCATCAGTCTAGATACAAAAGCCTAGGAAATGGGATAGACTGGGGAGTGCCCCGACTAGCAAACTCTAAGTCACAGGCATCTGCTACTTTCTTTTTTTAAGATTTTATTTATTTATTTGACAGACAGAGATCACACGTGGGCAGAGCAGTAGGAAGAGAGAGGGGGAAGCAGGCTCCCCGCTGAGCAGAGAGCCCAATGCGGGGCTCTATTCCAGGACCCTGAGATCATGACCTACTGAGCCACCCAGGCACCCCCATCTGCTACTTTTTATTAGGTCCTTCCTCACCATTTCCTAAAACATGTCTTTGGAGAAAGCATTCCGGCTCCAAGATGGCTTTCAATTACCAACATTAATGTTTTAAACTCTAGAAAGAGCAGCTCACACAACGTAGGCCCCAGGAAAGAAAAAAAACACGCATGCAAAAAAGGCATTCTAGAATCACAGCACCTTAGAGTTCGACCTGAATTCAGGTGTCTGTAAAATAAAAAATATATATGACTTTGTGCCATGGAATGCTCCAAACTTTCATATCTAAGTTAGAGCATGAAAGGTGACTTTAATCATCTCTGGGTGGGGGGGGGCCGCTCCCGCCCCCCCCGCCGCCCCGACCCCAGACAGGCAAGTCTCCAGACCCCAGCTGGGTGTCCCGCTATCTAGCTCAATCCTGACACTACCTGGAGAGAGCGTCAGAGTAAGGACTCGGTTTGTAAAGATTGCCTTCCAGTTCACACGCCGGTCTCAAGCCCAGGTTCTTCTTGTGCTTCTGACCCACTGGCTAGCCTGAAAGATTCTAACAGCCCTCTCCTTGGGTTCTATTAATTTGCCAGGTTGGCTTGCAGACCTCAGGGAGACATTTTGCTTCGTAGATCACCCCTTTATTACAAAAGACCGTAACTGAGGAGCAGCCAGAAGGAATAGATACAGGGGACAAAGTATGGAGGAAGGGCAAGGAGTTTCCAGCTCTCTCTTAGCCCATGGCTTTCCCCAAATCTCCATGTGTTCGCCAGCCTGAAAGCTCCCCAACCTTGTTGAGGGTTTTTATAGAGGCTTTATCACATAGGGATGATTGATTCAATTATTGGCCATTGGCGATTGAACTCAATGTCCAGCGCCCTCCTCTCCCTAGAGGTCAGGGGCAGCCCTGAAAGTTCCAATCCTCCGATCACAGGCTTGGTTCCACTGGCTCCACTTGGCTCCAAAGGCCCCCATCCTTACATCAAGTCCAAAAGTCACCTCATTAACTTAAGAAAAGACACTTACTGACTCTCATCACTGGGTAAAATCCAAGAGTAAAGAGTTCTGTGCCAGAAATGGGGATAAAGCCAAATATATACTCCTTAATGTAAATCACAATCTCAGGTTAGAACTCAAAATTCTTAGAAAGCCACAGAGTCAACCAGGACTCCTGGGTTGAAGCCTTGGCTCCATGGTGGATTTTCTGAGAAGGATTGGAGCTCAATTTTACTGTGGAAAGTTCTGGATGCTTGATTAGAGCTCAGCTCTAATCTAAGGATGCTGATCAGAGCTCAGCCAGCCAGTCTGATCAAGAAGCACCGTTTGAATAAGAGAGATCATCAGTTCGGAATCCTACATACCTTTCTTCGGGTGACAGGGACTGGAGCAAAAATCTAATCGTTACTTTCCCCCCAAACCCCGGGCTCAAACAACCCTAGTTCTAGTGCCATTGACTTCCCCAGGTTTTGAGCTTGGACTGCTTCAAGGCCTCTTTGCTCTCCCAGAAAGTCTCTGTGAAGACCTAGCGACCTTCTCGGGGCTCCAATCTCTTGCCTTTCTCTCGAGAATATCTCTCCTTCTGACCCCTCTGAAATTTGTGAAATCAGTCTTTAAAAGGACAGGAACAATATCTTCCAAAGGCAACGTATGTGTTAAATATTTACTAATAGGGAGAAAAAGAATTGAAAATTCATGCTTAAGGTGGAAGACCACTTACATGGTTTGTCACTTAACCTTGTAAGTGGTTACAAGTGTTATCCCCATTTTACAGATGAAGAAACTGAGGCTAACCAACTGTACCTCCAAGTAGGGGCTGAACAGACACTCTGAATGCAGTCCCCTTTGGCTGCGGTGCCCATGCACCTTTCTGCACAACACATGGCATATTTTGACTCGGTTGGCTTGAAATATAAGTCGTGGTCTGCATGTTACCGATAGCTAAAAAACCATTCCTTTTTTCTAGCCAACTCCCATAAGGTACAAAGTCAGAGACATGATGGTCCCCACCGCAATGTGGTCTGGGGGTCAGGACTGGCTTTCAAATCCAGAGGACATGAAGACACTGCTCTCCGAGGTGACCAATCTCATCTACCATAAGCACATTCCTGAATGGGCACATGTGGATTTCATCTGGGGCTTGGATGCCCCTCACCGTGTGTACAACGAGATCATACATCTGATGAAGCAGGAGGACGCCGGCTTCTCCCAGGGAACATGCGGGGTCAGACTGTGAAGCATCTTGATACTGACGAGTCTTGGCTGGCGGGGGGTGGGGTGGGGGGGTGGTCCCTGAATGGAGGATTTTCAGGATTTTGAGAACTGGAAACCTCCCATATTATGGGGGGGGGGGGGGAGTAGTGGAGAAGAGAGGGCAAAGCTAGAGTACACATCCCTTCAGATTTCCTGTATTTGACACTAAAACGGACATTTAATTTTTTTCCAACTAATTAAAATTTGCATTGGGTAAACATAGGTTTCACGTGTTATTTTACATTCTGCCATCCTGAAGAGTTGGTCTTACCTGACAACTAGAAATTAGCTAGGACTAATTAGCTAGGACATTAGCTATATGTCATTCAGGCAGACCCCTTTACAATGTTAATTTTTTTCTAGAAGCCATACTTTTGGAACAGTCAAGAAAAGGGATGGATTGAGACAGAGGCAGAAGTCTTGCCTCTCTGAACTGTTGTAACTATAACAAAATAAGGTAGACACTTTCACCTTATTGCCATAAAGACATCACACTACCTCAGGAAGCTGAGCTGCTTTATTATTATTATTATTGTAATTATTAAACTGTAATGTGTTATTTGTTTCATGGGTACAGGTCTGATTCATCAGTCTTACACAATTCACAGCACTCACCATAGCACATACCCTCCCACAAAGCTGAGCTGCTGTAAGAAAGAAAGAGAGAAAGAGAGTGGGAGGGAAAAAGAACGGTATGGACGAAATATATTTTAAGCATCATTAGAAAGGGCCATGTTTAAGAGTTGAGTCTCAGAGGAAATAATCTGGTAAGATATTCAGTGACTTTTCCAGTAAGTACATTACACCCGGCATGAAGGACAACCATGTTTCAGTACCTAGTGCCAAGTCCAAGCTCATATGAGCGTTTACTGCCTGAGGCTACCAATGCCTGGCCCCGTTTCCTGCCTTCAAAAATTAAAAAGTGGGAAGAAAGCTTTAGAAGGTCATGAGCATAATGACACAAACGGTCACATATTCTGTCTTTGGATCTCGACAAGAGCCCAAACTCACCCACAAATCCGAATTTACGTCTTTAGAAAAATGGTCAGCATTCACACAGTTTCAAAGATGACAGTTAACAGATTACATGAGTGAGAGTGTAATTTTACAAACCAAATCGGAGGTACACTGGTGTGTAAAGTTCATGTTTATGCGATTCCCCAGAGCCACCTGCTGACCTCATTCAATGCAAATGCGAATGTGTCTTAAATAATTTAAGAGACACTTAAGGGCTTCAGAATCTAGATCTACACCCTACTATGTCCCTCACAAAACATGTACCTTAAGGCTCTGTACATAGTTCAAGAAATAAATTTTGGACTGGATTTTCATTAGACCCTTATTCTATTCAAGGATGGTAAATCTTTTCAGTAGACTGTTTGTTACCACAAATAGTGTGGTTTAGTCCATGTCGGAAGATATTAATGACTCCGTCTCGCCTTGCAAAATTCAACCATTTTTTAAATGTGTTTATTTCTACTGGGTCTCATTGATGAAGGAGTTATGAAATATATTTCGATATTCTCTCTCTCCCCCAGAAGCGTAACCCAGATACCATTCCACCCTACTGCCCTAGTTCTTGTAAAGAAGTCCTTTGTCTAATAATTAACAATGCTATGTTAAATTTTACCAATGAACATAAATAGAATCAACGAGCTTAGCAGCTGCCTCACATTCACAGGAGAATCAGAAGGTGATTTTTGAACGACGGTCTCAGTGGTTACAGGATTTTGTTCAAAATGAGGATGACTTTTATTTGTAAACCGATAGCAAAATGTCTAGAGCTATGCTGGTTAAATTGGCTCTCCAGAGGGGCGCCTGGGGTCTCAGTGGGTTAAGCATTTGCCTTCGGCTCAGGTCACAGTCCCAGGGTCCTGGGATCCAGGTCCGCGTCAGGAGTCTGCTTCTACTTCTCCCTCTGCCCCTTCCCCTGGCATTTGCTGATTACTGTGGCATAAATACTCCCACCCCTGACGAGTGGGAGATGATTTTGTTGAAGTTGTTTCACCAAGTAAGTATTTACATATGAAGCTCATCTCCCATTCCCCCAACACATAGGTCCATACAAATATGTATACTTTGATTCTTCCTCTTACTATTCAAAAAGGACGGAGAGAAACAGCTGTCTTCTGGGCATGATATTGCCAGGTAAGAGCTACATAGCTGGGAAGAGAAAACCAAACCAGGTCACTCTGATCCTTTTCTTTGGAAGAGAATGAGCTTGAAATGTCACCTTTTTTTTTTGGACCCAAATGGAGACTCCAAGAGTTTTAGTGTTTCTCCTAGAAGTATGGTGACCATAGTGAACTCCACGGGGCAAAAGAAAATTCTAAATACAAAGCTCTTCCAAAACGTTAACCGTGGCAACGACTGTTACGGTTACCCATGGTAACCAAAAAAATCACAGCGTCCGGGTTCAACAGTCCACAGACCACTTGTCCAAAATGGAGATAGAATTCAGTCCTTTAACTTTTTCTACTTCTCCATGTGAGGCCACAAGGATTAGGATACTTTCCTTAGCATTAATTCAATCTGGGAAAACTTTAATCTCCGTGCAATATCCAGGGAACTCTCGCCACGCTGAGGAGAAAAAGAAATTAGAGTCATTTATCTCTGATACAGTCCAACGTCAAAGCCAAAAGTCTAGTAAACAGTCCAGATCGACTGATTCACACTCTTAGCAAGGGCCTTAAATGTCATTTGGCTCTAAGAGTAATAGGATAACTTAATTGCTTAATGAGGACAGTATGTTTTGCTCTTAAAAACATCAGAGGCAATTAATTCACTGCAACAAAAACCCGAACTCAGAAGACGATGCTGCTAGAAGGGACCTCGGATGCTTGTCCACAGATGCTTACCTTGTTCTTGATCATGGGGTCAGCACGAGCTTCCAGTAGTAGAGGGATAAGGGTCTGGTTTTTCATCTGACAGGCATAATGCAGGGCTGTGTAGCCATACTGAAACAGAGGACCAAACAGTGCATCTGCGCTCTTGGTATAATTTAAAGCACTAACTACAAGTGAAAAGAAATGTCTAGCTGGAGTGTTTGTGGCCCCCAGTTTTGGCTTTCAAAAAGCAGCCAAGCCACTGTGGTTTTGGCACGTGGGCAAAATAATATCAGACCTTATTAACTCTTCCGAGATCATAGTGAATAATGTTGCGATCGCTTACTTTTATTGAGTGGTGAGATGGTTTAAGTGGAAGATCTGGCTCCCAACGTGCCATGGGAAATAAAGAATCTAATTACCTAAAAATACAATGCACCACATCACTTAGAGGTGGAAAAACGACCTGAATATTCAGACAGTTTTAGAAAAATGGTGGGGAAAAATGTAATCATGCAACTAGAGACACACAGAGGACCAGAAAAGTAGGGGCCCCAGGGTGGCTAGGTTGGTTAAGTATCTGCCTTCTGCTCAGGTCATGATCCCAGCGACCTGGGATCGAGTCCTGCGTAGGGCTCCCTGCTCATCGGGGAATCTGTTCTAGCCTCTGCCTGCTGCTCCCCTTGGTTGTGCTCTCTCTCTTTCTCTCTCTGACAAATAAATAAAATCTTTAAAAAAAAATCTTCAAGCAATTTTGACCACAAAGTTTTCAACCTTTTGAATTTAAATGAGAAGACCAAGAAAAATCTTCAACAAACCTTTCCCTAATCTTTCATAACATCTTACTTAGTACATTTCAAAGTTATCTAAGGAAACGATGGAGTGTAGTGGTCATCTACTCCAATTAATCTAAAAATCCTATTTTAAATAAAAGGAAACACATGCTTTGCATAAACTTATTCCCTTGTGTTCTCCCACACAAATTAGGGACCACAAAGAAAATACTGGTTCATTTCGACTCTAATTTCAAATCGCCTACTTTTCTGATACCGAGTTGAGAAGCCAAAATTTCATCCAATCAATGGAAGCAAATGAAAGTTCATACCAATAAACATTTGATCCATTTACGATCATTTAAGGAAGGAAGAGGGGTACAGGGGTGAAAGGTAAAAACAAAACCTGATATTTAGAAACAGAAGTTCAGGGCTGCTGTCTGCTGGTCACTGCCCTCACCACCATCTGGGCTCTTGAACCTTGATCTTTACCGATCTAGTTAACAGATGGGGACTCCTACAAGTGGGCTGGGAGCTCAGCTGCAGCAGCCGGTACTCTGGGCCAGGCACTCTGCTAAGCACTTTACATAGTCAGCCTTGCAAGGTGGGTGCTGTCATCGTCCTCACTTTGCAGGTGAGCAAACCTACAAGCTTATGACCGGTCACAATGCACACAGGCAAAAAGGGACAAGCCTAGCTTGACACGTAGGCATTCGGACTCTGGCGTCTTCATGACGGAGGATGGGAGTTTCTTAGCAGAGCCTTCTTCTCCCATAACTTCTCACCAAGGGTGGAGCGGTTCTTTTAAAACATGTCCTCTAGTCAATAAAGATGTTATTCCCATGACTTTCATGGCAACAGCCTAACAACTTCAAGGCTGCCTGACTAGCAGTGAAAACGAAAAGAAAGCAAGCAAAACGTAAAGAAAGCCAGGGAAAACAGAGAGGCGTCTAGGAAAATAAAGCCAGTAAGTTTGTAGGTGACAAATACACACACAATTTTGAATATTCTTTCTAAACAACTGCACCCACGAACTTACACAGTCTGTGGCGTTCACGTCTACCCTGGCATTGAGCAACATTCGGACAAGAGCCTCATTCTGCTTGGTCTTTGACACCTGTTACAAAGAGCAAATATGGAAGACGTTCATTGACAACACTTTTCTCCATCTTATGCCTAGACTATTCTATTCAACAGATTTATTTTAATCCCAACCCCATTATGGGTCTCTGCATCGTTCTTAAAAAGTCCCCCACATCCCCGCCCCCTCTGATATCAGGCAGGTAAAGCCTGGGTTCTCAGAGTGTGGTCCTGGGACAGCTGCATCAGCCTCTGGGAAATTGGAAATGTGAATTCAGTGGCCCCATGCCAGACCTCCCTTCTTTGCCTGGTAAATCCATGTTTAATATCCCAGCCCAAGTCCCTCTTTCCTCCAGGAGGCTTTCTCTGACCTACTGCCCTTGGTGGAATCTCTCCTCTGGGAGAAGATCAACTCCCCGTATCACCTACTTCATAGTAAGTTTACATGCGTTTCTGTGGTTATTTCATTAATGACCCATTCTTCAGTCCTCTCTGACTCTCACGAGGACAAGAACAACACCCGTTTGCTTCCCGACTGCATCCCTCCCAACCAGCCATGTGTGCACAGAGTAGGTCCGCAGTAAGCATGTGCTGAATGATCGAACAAAGGAATGAAATGAACAAGACTCCTCAGAAATCCACGTTTCCTGCCCCCATCCCCTGAGATTCTGACCACAGGACAGGTTGAGCAACCCTCCAACATACCATTGCTTTAGGGAGGGCAGTTCTCAGGGAACAGGTGGGCAAGTCCTGAAGGTGAGCCCCTTCTCCTAGCAGGAAGCCCCACCCACTCTCCTTCTTTATTTGTAATTCCCTCCTGTGACAACATCTACACAGCCTAGATAGGCTCTGCCTTTCTCTGAAGTAACTCAGTCCTTTCTGGTCCCTTCCTCTAAAATGTCTTCTCTCGCCACTACACTTTGTGCTTAATTTTAAACCTCCGACTGTCTTCGAAAGCAGGGTTGTGTGGCAACAAGCTCTGAACGAGCCTTGTTCATCACTCTTGTGATCGTTCTGGAAATGAACGGCAGATCCCTCGCCTGCCTGGAAACGGCACATATACCAATGCTCTGCACTAAATATGCAATTAATTTTTTAAGAACTTTTCCAGGATATAAGCAGATGATGTGTTTCTCAGTGACTTGTGTTTTCTTTTTTCCATAAATCCAAGCATCGAAATCAGCATTATCATACTTAATTAGAATTTCACAAATTGTGACATTTAAATACCCAAGGAGGTAATTACACTTCTAATGGGCAGACTTCGTCCTGGAGCCTCTCGTAGCAAAAATAACCAATATCCATGATCTATTAGCTACGGGGAGAGGGGAGCTCGGTCATTTAATTGGATTAAGTGACACATCTGCTGAGTCATCTCTCAAGGATGGACATGGACTCCGGGGAACCAGATGGGAAAAAGGGAATGAGTCAGGGCAAAGCTGTCGCTCCATTTGAAAAAAACAAAATAGCCATCTCACACTTCATCTTCTACTCATAAAATGACTTGGGTTCCTACACCAAGTGTATCTTTCATTATTCAGCTCTGTCAAGGGGAAAGGTTGGCTTTAAATTATCTGTAAAGATGATTGGTGTTTGTCAACCTCTGGCTGCAAATATTTTGGGATCTGTTTTTTAACTCAAGACAGCGCAGGTCCAGAAAAATCGGAAACTCAAAGATGTGTGCAAAGACACAAGCGGGGATTTTTATTTTTTAAAAAAATTCGGGATTTTCTGCTTTCTTCATATGATTCTTAATCAAAATTAATTTAGTTTTCTAAATAAACATCTTACAGATGATTTTACCACAGATCAACCTAGTTGGCTGCCTTTCTTCTCACCTTCCTTCAATCCCAGCATTACATGGATATTGGAAATGTCATTTTTTGAATACCAACCAGGAGTTTATTTTGTTACTGTTTCTCTACATCGTACTGGCCCAGCAAAACTTGCTGAGTCATGCTGTTGATCTCTCCATTTACCCTTTGAGCACACGCGTGTTACTTACCATGAGGAAATACCCGATAAGCAGAACGGGCATTAAGAGGATGATGAGCAGGTAATCAAAGAAGGTAAATTTTTTCTTCACAGCGTAATGCAAGCAGTTTCTCTCTTTCTTAAAATTAAGAAAATAAAATAGAGAAATAAAGAAATTCTTTATTAACATTTGTCTCAAATTTCATATTTTCAGATTGCCGTATCAAAAATTTCATTCGTGGGGCACTTGGCTGGCTCAGTCAGTAGAGCATGCAAACTTTTGATCTCAGGGTCATGAGTTCAAGCCCCATGTTAGGCAGGAGAGTTTACTTTAAAAAGGGGCGGGGGGCACCTGGGTGGCTCAGTGGGTTGAGCCTCTGCCTTCGGCTCAGGTCATGATCTCAGGGTCTTGAGATCAAGCCCCACATCAGGCTCTCTGCTCAATGGGGAGCCTGCTTCCCCCTCTCTCTGCCTGCCTCTCTGCCTACTTGTGATCTCTCTCTGTTGAATAAGTGAATAAAATCTTAAAAAAAAAAAAAAGACTACATTATTAAAAAAAAAAAAAGGTTAGTTTATGCTTTTTATTTTTATGGTGGGTACCCATGGCAACTCTTTCTGTGGAGAGTGTCTGATTAATAAGGCCATGTCCCCATTGATGAGAATGTCAAAAACAGTACAGTCTACAGATTCTCAGGGCGGGCGCCTAGGTGGCTCAGTCAGTTAAGCAACGGACTCTTGGTTTTGGCTCATGTCATGATCTCAGGGTTGGGGGATGGAGTCCCCACGTGGGCTCTGTGGGAAGTCAGCTTGAGATTCTCTCTCTCTCTCTCCCCTTCTGCTTCTTCCCCCACTCACACGTGCTCTCTCTCTCAAAAAAGTCTATGAATAAATTTTTTTTTTAAAGATGGATTCTCACATGCATGTTAGTTTTATGGGGGGAAAATACATTGAGATATAAACATAGGACTGAATTCAGTGTGAAAAGCTATCATTATCCCTGACTCATCTATGGTATATGATTACTCATTTTGTGGTTTGTTTATGGGAAAATCTTAACCATGCGGCATATATTTTCCTGTTCCTACATGCATACATGCAGTGCCGGAAGAATGGAATTAAGTCAATTTAATTCTTCAAATATGTGAATATTTATCAGGCAACAGACTTAAGCTTCTAGAGGTTGTGGGGGGATGTAAAGCTTCCAGGCCTCATAATCGAACACAGGTAGACAGAAACAAGCCCAATAAATGTAATGCAAAACAGTCCATGGTGACTGGAACACCAACCAAATCAATGCGAAGAGAGAGAAAGCCAGAGAGAAAAGAGATGTTAGTTTCCACTTGGGGGGAGGTGCTGTTCTTACATAAGAAAAATTTTTGTTTTTTTTAATATATATGTTCTTTGTAAAAATTTTGTAAACTAGACAAGGATATAATTACAGAATTTAAAATCACCCATTATCAAATAGCCCAGAAATAACTGTTGACATTTTGGCTATATTGTCTTCCAATCTTTTAAAATGCATTATATGGGGACACCTCCTTGGCTCAGTCAGTTAAGCGGCTGCCTTCAGTTCAGGTCATGATCCCAGAATCCAGGGATCGAGCCCCAAATCAGGCTCCTTACTCAGCGGGGAGACTGCTTCTTCCTCTCTCTCTGCTACTCCCCCTGCTTGTGCTTTCTCTCTCTCTCTGTTAAACAAAATATTAAAATAAAATAAGATAAAATGCATTATGTCGAATTTTAAAATGTAAGGTCATACTGCATGTACAAAGTCATGTCCGCTTTTCTTTTCAATTCACATTTAGAATGTGTCATTTTCTCATGCCCTTTAAAACTTTTAAACATAGGACTATAACAGCTGTATGACTTCCTATTGACTGGAACTATTCTAATTTATTTAACCAAACCCTATCTGTTGGACATCTCGAGATTTTAACTTTTCATTTTTATAAATTACACTACTTGTGGACATCCTCATTCATAAAGCTTTGTCAACATTTCCAAATTGGTCCTTAGCAAAAGTTTCCAAAAGTATAATTGTTGACATGAACAGTATGAATGCTTTTCATATTGTATTGCTAAACTGTGCTCTGGTAAAATCATAATGATTTAAACTTCCTTCCTGATCAACATTTGGTTTCCTTTTTTAATCCTGGTCAATTTGACAGGAAATATATATATATATATATATATATATATATATATATATATAATTTTATATATATATAAAATTTGTTTCCATAGAATTGTTGTTCTTTATTAGGCCTGTGCATATGAAATCACCAGCAGAACTGTGTGTTCTATTTTAAGGCCTTTGTTTATTTAGTACTTCTGAAAATAAGTCCTAAACATAGATTTAAGAAATGAGAAGGCACTTTAAATTATTAACGTACCAAGATTAGCATTGGGGGAAAATTAAGAAGATTAAGCATTTAAAAATGACTAAAAATATTTTAAAAATAGAAAATGGGAGCCAAACCCTTCTTGTAATAAGATCTCTCATTTTCTAAAGTATCCCTCAAGTCCTTTCCAAGATGTTCATGATACCAGAGGATCCAGTAGGGCTGGCTCAGGTTCTGTCCCTTCTGGGCCCCACCCCTGTGTCGACCAGCATCTCCTGCCCACAGCTTCTGAATAAGCACGTCTCCCAACAGAGGTCGTGAATCCGCAGATGTCTGTCTTTGCCACACGCGGCAAAGCACACATGGCTGGGTCCTCAGCTGCGAGCTGGGGAGAGCATGTCATAGTCTCCACTAAGCTGCATATCTGTGAGATCCAGTGCAGGCCTGACTTGCTTTTAAACCCAACCAAGAAAAAAAAAACAAAACAAAACAAAACAAAAAAAAAAACAGTTCAAACAAGAAGGTCTAGGAGTGATCCATTCTGATAATATATTTTTGCTCTAGATGAGCTGGTCTTGAACCTGACTTGGAAGGGGTCAAGGGGGCCCTACAGGCTGCTTTTCCTCACTGAATGTATGTGAGTGGGAACAGGGCACTCATAATTATTACAAATAATGTGCTTTAAATGTTGCTTATTGCTATGATGCACACACGGAATGTTCGAAGGTGTTCTGAAAGGATGCTCGGGGCAATACACACGTGTTCTGTTCTTCCTTGATTCTGAAGTTTCCATCAGCTAACCCTACATCTTAAGTACAATCTTTATGCCTTTCTGGGTAGCTTCAAGGAGCCTCTGGTTCACGAGCTTGTTTGTCCTGGACAAATGTCTCACTGGCATCCTTCAGTCCAAGAGCAAACTGTAGGATCTTCTGGAGAACATTGACCCAGTAGGTAAAAACCTAAAGACATAACACCACCGGGCCAATAATTTTTTCCAGGAAGTCTTTCCCATTACTTCTGTGATGGTTGAGGAAGACGAGCAGGAGGGGGAAGCCAGAAGGCATGGAACAGCGTGGGGAGGAGGAGGAAAAAAAGGAAGAAGCTCTCACTAGTCAAATGAGTGAACCATTACCTTTTCAGAAATACAAGGACATACTGAACCTGCTGAATGAACTGTGATTTATTTGGCTTTTTAGCCTAATAGAATAGTATGTATCTGTCCCTCTAAAGTAAGGCAAAAAAAATTTTTTTTGGTATCAGGAGCTACAAACAATGAGAAAATGGCATTCACTACTTCCATTGCTGTGGGGAGAAAGGATTACCGTGGTCATTGACTCTACTCATGTGTAATGGCCTCACCCGGTTTTTGAGGTTCACATCCGCATTTCTTTTTAAAAGGAAGGAAACAATTCTTAGGTGTCCTCGCCTACAGGCACAGATCAGGGGAGTGTCTCCATTGAAGTCATCTCGCACATTGATGCAAGCGCTGTCTTCTCTCACCCATCGCCACACTTGACCCAAGTCGTTCTGGTAGGCCGCCTGGCAGATGGGCTGACAGGGGAAACACAGAAGCAGATTTTGCAATAGGGGTATAATGAGACCACCCCCCCCCCAATAGGAGAGAAATCCTCACGCAGTCACTTAAACCTTGTGTGTTTCCAAATTGTAATATATTGCTTTGTGTGAGCTCTTTGGTCTCCCTTTGCCTAGGCTTAAAACTCAGCCTAAGTCCATGAGGAGCTCTAGGGATTTCCTAGATTGCTTGGCAGTCAGATGTGTTTGCTGAAGGAGGGAAAACGTGGAAGCAATACTGGAGATTCAGGTCAGGGATGAAACTGTCTGGTGGGCGGCTGGGTAGAGGAGGCCTGTCAGAAAGGCAGGACTTCACTGAAGACAAAATAGGCATGTTGGGGGAGGGGGGTTTGAGGGCAGCCCTGGGAGATGAGATGAAGACATCTGACCCCCGGTGCTCAAGGAACCCAGCACAGGAGCAAAGACCTATTTTAGACAAATAATACATAAACAACAAATTAATTAACTGCATTTGATGCTTTTTATCTCCAGAATGTTAGAAGGAGCTTTGCAAAGCACGATGGGGGCTCACCAGCAAGACAGAAGCCTACCTCCCCTTGCCCCCTTTGTCCCTCCTTCTGGACTTCCCCTTCCCCTTCTCCTTCTTCAAGATTTTATTTATTCATTTCACAGACAGAGATCACAAGTAGGCTGAGAGGCAGGTGGAGGGAGGGGGGGAGCAGGCTCCCTGCCCAGCAGAGAGCCTTTAACCCACTGAGCCACGCAGGTGCCCCTGGACCTCTCTTCTGTTTTCAAGATCTCACGTTCGGTTCCTTCCACCTGGGCCTCTGCCCTCCCTGTTCCCTCGGTGCAAACCCATTTTCCCCTTCTCTGCCCTCCTGGCTGCCTGCTGACCCGTCCTTTGTACCCTCACTTTATTTTTACAGTACTTACACAGCACCGACACACGGTAGGCAAATACTGAATATCCTCAGACCGATTTTAATTAGAGAGAGAGAGAAAGAAAGAAAGAAAGAAAGAAAGAAAGAAAGAAAGAAAGAAAGAAAGAAAGAAAAAAAGAAAAGACAAGACAAAGAGCCCTTAGAATAATACCGGGCACAGAGATGGGGCTCAGTTTATGGAAATTATTGTTCCTGCTCACTCGGTCCTTCTTTAGTTTGGAAACAAAGTCAGACCTCCCCTGGGTGCCAGCCGCCGCTGTCGGGGATCAGGGAGGAGAATAAAATGGGTCAGTCTGCACCCCATGAAATGTATTTACCAGCGGGGGAATACGGTGTGCGCATGCGCGCCCGCACACAGACTCAACAGTAGGAAAACAGAGTTCAAGAAGCACGGATTCGGGTTACTCAGCACCAGCTGGGGCAGAGCTCAGGGTCATTGGCTAATCAGTTCATGTTCTAACATGGCCAAATGCCACAACCTGTGAGGGTTTTGTGGGGGTTTTTTTAAGATTTTTTTTTTTTTTTTTTTTGAGAGAGAGAGAGCGAGCGAGCGAGAACGAGCGAGCATGAGAAGCAGGAGGGTCAGAGGGAGAAGCAGACTCTCCACCAAGCAGGGAGCCCGATGTGGGACTCGATGCGTGACTCCAGGATCATGACCTGAGGCAAAGGCAGCTGCTTAACCAATTGAGCCACCCAGGCGCCCAACCAGTAAGATGCTTTTAAACGCAAGGCCCCACTCATGAAAGAAACATCCCAAAGGAAAGTCAGCTGGGGAACAGATAAGAGGAGAGCTTCTGTACCCCAAAAGCAAATGAGCACCATACAGGGGTCTGAAATGCAGTAGAAATGCACAATCATACAACTCACTTTTCTACTACCCTGAAGTCATCCCTTGACTAGAACTGTCACCAGCTGGGCTCAGCAGTGTCCCCGGATTTTCTGTCTGGCTGACACAGAAGTGACCAGAGCCGTTGAAAGGACACAAACTGGCTTGTCCTTGCGGTTCTGCTCCTAACTCCTTGGTGACCGTGGACAAATCTCTTCCCCTCATGTGTCTCTGTGTCCTCAGTCATGAAGCAAAGGAATAAAGTAAAAGTTGTTTCATGTTGTCACACCCTATGACTGTCATACCCCAAACTGCAAGTCTTTCCCTAACCAATGCTTCCTCCGCATCAACAGTAAGGTCAACACATAGTCTTTTTTTTTTTTTTTAAGATTTTTTTTATTTTAGAGAAAGAGAATGCGAGCGGGGAGAGAGGCAAAGGGGTGGGGGGAGAGGCAGAGAATCTCAAGCAGACTCCCCACTGAGCACAGAGCCCAAAGCAGGGCTCAATCCCACAACCCTGAGATCATGACCAGGGCTGAAATCAAGAGTGGGACACTTGACCGACTGAGCCACCCAGAAGCCCCAGAGAACTAGTCCTTTTTAAGCACAAACACGGCTCAGAAACTTCCCAGGGAGATGCCCTGTCACTTAAATTTAAATAACAAACAAAATGGAGCTAAATACAGCAGTATTAAGTGTTAAGACACCCAGTGCCAGGGGCACCTGGGTGGCTCAGAGGGTTAAAGCCTCTGCCTTCCGCTCAGGTCATGATCCCAGGGTCCTGGGATCCAGCCCCACATCGGGCTCTCTACTCAGCAGGGAACCTGCTTCCCTGCACCCCCCCCCCGGCCTGCTGTACTGCCTACTTGTGATCTCTCTCTCTCTCTGCCAAATAAATAAATAAAATCTCTAATTAAAATTAAAAAAAAAAAAAAAAAGACACCCAGTGCCTCTCAGGGCTTCCTTAACCCCACTCGGGGGATCGTACTTAATACATCAACCCGACCTTATCTTTTAATCTTTCCGAAGCTTCCTATATCCCAGGCACAGAGTTTCCGTGGGTCCCTCCACACAAGAGGTGTAGGAGTTGAGTGAACCCCAGAAAAGGCTCTATGCTGTTGAGAACTCCCAGTGTCCACCAGGGGGCAGCTCGGGGTCACGAAAGCACGGACAAGGACAGGAGGGAAGTCCGAGGGAAATCTAGGGTCCAGAAACAGGAAGAGGCTGTCCCCTGGGGCTGAGGGAAGTGTTATTATGGATTCTGTTGACCTCTGAAGCTTCTGGAACTTGGAAGAAGTCTCGGTAAAGGGGAAGCCCGTGGAGAACCTGGAACACTGTCGTGATGATTCTGTCCCTTGGTACTCCTCCCTCCATTCTCATAGCCAAAGATCTGAGGAGGATTTGTGCTTTTTGAAGCAAAATGATTCGGGTAATTCTGATGCACTCAAGAAAAGTCTTCTCAGAAAACAAAAGAAGACGTGTTCTTCCCCTTCAGATTAAGCAACCCTAGGGAATGATATCAAAGGCTTCATTTTGTTGGTACAATTAATCACAGGCTGTTCTTTCTGGTGACTCATTTTGTCACACATTGGGATTTGGAAATTTCTTGGTAAGTTCTTTCTTCCGGGTCAATTAAAAGGCACAGGAATTTTTTTTTTTTTTTTTTTTAGAAGGTTTTCTTAGCCCCATGGAGCCTTTATGGAACATGAAGGAAGGTCCCAGAAGTGCTTGGATTGTGAGGAATGGTAGCAATGAGGAGACACAGACGCAGGACACAGTTATCTGTTTAGTATTCTTTCTCCTACAAGGTCCGCTTGGGAATATGTTGTCTTCGCTGCTGGGAGGCCAGAGGAGCTTCCCTGCTGACTTCAGACCCTAGAAGCTCTGAGGTCAGTGATGACAACTGGGAGAGAGCAAGACAGCCTCCCCCTCAGGAGGAGGAGAAATGGCGTGTCCTAGTTGCCAGGATGGAGCCAATCAGAAGCCCAGATATCTCCCTACTGCCTCAGACCACCAAACAGGTGAGTGCAGAGCCTGGAGGAAGCAGGAACCTCAGCCTCACATCCTTTTGAACACTCGGACCTTCTGTCAAACAATGACTGCCCGAGGGAGAAGAGGACCAAGCTAGAATGATTGGAGCACAGGTGATGCCAAGAAGCAAAACAACCTCTAGTCGGACCTGTGAGTCTCTAAATTCCGTATAGACAGTGAGCCTTGTTACTCACACCTGGACGAGCCGCTGTCACCAGCACACCTTTGTATATCCTCCGTCCATCATTCCGATGGGCTCAACCGTCCATGCTTCCAGTTCCCCACATACCTGTCCCCTGTCTGGGACTCGCCCCAAGCTCCCGAGACTGGTGCTCATTCTTCAGTGCTCAGCTCCAGTGTCATTATCTAAGAGGAACCTCGGGTAAAAGATCATACGTGCAACCCCACCCTCTCCCCCCGTATATCCTCTCATCAGCCTGATGCTTCTTTGATGCCACTCTAAATTATTTATACTTATTTTTTTCATGTGTATATTCATTTTTTTTAAGATTTTATTTACGTATTTGACAGACAGAGATCACAAGTAGGCAGAGAGAGAGGGAGGAGGAAGCAGGCTCCCTGCCAAGCAGAGAGCCTGATGCAGGGTTCAATCCCAGGACCCTGAGATCATGACCTGAGCGGAAGGCAGAGGTTTTAACCCACTGAGCCACCCAGGCGCCCCGCGTATATTCATTTTTGAAGCTGGTAACTCCAAGAGTTCAGGGTCCACTTCTATTTACTTATCACTATCTACCAGGAGCAGCGTGAGCCTGGAATGTGTGATCAGCAAATATTGTGGATTCGATAAATGGATGAGTGATCAAAGGAAGAAATATTTACAGATTTTTGGTCCCAGTTCCTGTTCCTACATTCAAGTAATCATTTCCTCTTAAAAATGTGACTTGGTACATTATCATTTGTAAAAATATTTCTATAAGGAAAGAATTAAGAAACCAATTAGAGTAGTGCTTTTTTTTTTCTTTTTTGAATACACGGTGCCAGTACTAGGGGTTCAACACACAAAGTAGAGAGAGCTGGTAAGATCGTGAAGGAGGCATCTTGTTTCCATCATCTCTGCCTTTCTGTTTCTCGTATCACGGAATGACTCGACGCTAAACCAGATCTCACCCTGCTGTCATTTTATAGATACAAAGTCCCACAGGGTTCCCAGCTTGGTCAGTATAAATTCTACGTTTTCTTGACTTTTGGTCCAACGGCCT